TTTTTTTTGTTCAGGTTTCCTTGTCACTTGAGCATAAAGTAATGCAGTCCTTGGCACAAGACACTGAGCAAGTCACTTTGATGCAAAAGGTCTGCTTAAGGGCTTAGTTTGCCTTTCGACAGCACAGTGCTCTGGTTGTTAAATGTCAGCATTTAGGTACAACTGTTTGAGAGAGCGCTCGCATCTACAATGGGAGATGACTTGCAACACATTTTGTGGCTGAAGAGTCCTAGGTGCGTTCTTGATGTCATATCTCCATTGTCAAATATATTCTCTTTCAAGCTCTGAGGTATGGTTTGATCGTCGCACAAATTATACAAGATCAATGGCTTGTATGTCAATGGTTGGCTACATTTTGGGTTTGGGTGATAGGTGCGTTAAAGATTTCTGTTTTGCACTTTTGTGACTATGAGCATTTTAGGCATCCTTCTAATCTCATGCTAGATCGGTTGACTGGCAAAATTGTGCACATAGATTTTGGTGACTGCTTCGATGTGGCCATGACCAGGGAGAAGTTCCCGGAAAAGATTCCGTTCCGACTTACTCGAATGCTCGTGAAGGTGAGTTGATATCTTAGTAATTTTGTTCATCAAGTCGCATCATTGCAGAATTTGTGCTTTACTTTTTATTATCGATCTATATGAAATTTTTCTTCACAGGCAATGGGCGTTACGGGAATCGAAGGAAATTACCGCTTTACTTGCGAACGGGTACTGCGTCTGCTTCGCGCTAACCGTGACAGTCTGCTAGCTGTGTTGGAAGCCTTCGTCTATGATCCTGTTATTAGCTGGAGATTACTCGAAGGTGATTTCTTTCAATTAATCCTTTTCTTGCGCTCATGAATTCTGAAGAGTCATCGAAACCCCAATTTCATCATGAGGTATCTAGAAATTTTCCTTTGCTGCATAAAATGGTCTTCATATGCAGGCTCCACATCTGTGGGGAAGTTCTTCTGTAACTGTACTAGTGTGAACGGGATATTCGAAATATTGAAGCATACTCACTTCAGGCACCAAGCGTGTCCCTGGCGAAAAGCATGATGTTACTAGGAGAAAAACTCTGCAAGAAGCTCCTCGCATTGTCAGGGAACGAGTCATTGATCGTATCAAGCACAAGTTAGCAGGTAAGCAACATAGCAACT